GACCTCAACAACAAAAAATCTATTTAATTCTCTCCTTTACCTTAAAGAAAGTCCTGAAATATTAGCTGAAACATCCGCATTGATCTGTCACCTGAATGACAACGTGTAGGGTTCTGTTTAAATAAATCATTTTGTTTAGTTTTCATCTTTATTAATAATGACAAAATTGTTAAACATTATGATTTAATTAATTAACTTGTAGCCATCATTCGGACTAAAATTTCAGCAGATTCTCTGTGATGGTTCCTGATCATCACAGTTGAAGAAAAGCTCAAAAAGCAGTTGCGGCGTGAAATAAAAACCGAAAGGCAGCGGGAAGCTGTCGCTATGATCTGGATATAAATGGCGTTCTGAACCAGTAAGCATAGTTACTACAGGGACACGACACGGTAGAACAGTCGAGCTACACCTACGGCGTGTGCTGGCAATTAAAATTGACACTGCGAGGGAAGTAATGATATACTGAGTTGCGTAAAAGCACAAATATCTTGTTTTAAGACAAAAAATGGACTTACATGCTTGACTGTAACCATTTTTCCCAATGTCAAATAGGTTTTCATTTGCCTCATAACTAAACGTGACCTCAGCTGCTCAATCCTTCCAGAAAATTGAGTTCAGTTTAGAGTAAAGCAAAACGACATCAAATTCTCTACTTCTTCCTTTTCTCTTCTACCTTCAGGTCATGTTAATTCACCAACGTTTTAAACCATCAGCAACTCGTGAACTGAAGTCATTCGAATCCACTGATAAACCCAAGTCGATACTTTGTTTCGTTGAAGAGCAGATTATTTTGCATGTGATATTTAAGGATCTTCCAGTACACATGCTGAAAATCAGAGACAGAGGCTTTAGGCACCCCTAATTAAGTCAACTACTATTACTATTAATTTGAATAGCATAACCGTTCTACATAATTAATATCTTACCGAAATATACGGAATAGCTGATCGATTTCTGAATCTCCATGAAACAGCGGCTTTTTCGTCGTCATCTCCGCGAATATGCAACCGACAGACCAAACATCAAGAGGCATGGAATATCGCTGGCACCCAAGCAGGACTTCTGGCGATCGATACCATAAAGTGACCACCTGATCGTGAAAATAAATAAATCAATCCATATTATAGTAAATAACCAGTTTATTTACAAGCAGAATCCATACCGAAATCATTTGAGTCATGGATATACAGTTTAATGCAGAAGGCAAGCGGCATATTATCTTAAACCAGTAGCATCATAATAATGTTTCCTCCTGATACATGAGGGAATACATGCCTGATGCTACCTGAGAGAATGTCTATAAACTCGGTCCCCTCTACGTCTCGTCAAACACTTTGTTAACATACAATGATAACCACAGCATAACTAATTGAATGGGTTTAAAGCAAATTTGCCTAGAATAAGATATATTGCATAATACTCCTGACAAATGTTTTTACTCTTTAAAGTTTTATGCAGAACACACTAAAATTAGCTGCATTTAAGAATATCTGGCATATTTGAGCTGTTTTAAGTCCAACTTCTTACTTCGCTCTTACCAACGATATCGGAACGTAGAGTGAAACAAAAAAAGAATGTTTTCAATTAGGCATATCAGTTTCGCTTACATTTCTACATTAGGTTAGCTGTAACCTTCTTTCTTCGCTAGGTCTTAATATCCGTTTTGACGTCACGAGTCAGGAACGCATGAATATTTTCTATTATCAAAGCAACAACTACAGCTAAAGTGCCGCTATAGCAAGTAATCTGATGTTTCCTTCCACGAACTCGTTCATTCACCTGGTGACCTGCCTAGAGGTCACTTTTGATGCGTCAGAATAAGGAATAGATGTCCTGCCTTCGACAGGGCAACAGACACATCACCTCCTGCGTCTAACGAATTCCTGCCCCTGATAGTGATAGTTACCGAGGTTGGAACTCTCTCAATGACATAAGTAGGTTGCTCAGAAAGAGATGTACTCTTACAAACACCACTCGCTTGGCAAGACATGGGTTCTTAGTATTCTTGATCACTTCATTAATCTGTACGGATTTATAAATAAAAGCTTTTAATATGATTTGTGGACTGATCAGCTGTCAAGAGAGCGTTGTGAACCTTCATCTCCACTCTATCAACCTACTTACATGACCAAGTTTTTCAGCGTTATTGGCTATTAAGCCATAATACTGTAAGTGATATGGCATGACATATAAGTTTAGGTGCACACTGTCCTGCAGAAGTCATTCCACCTTGAGACTGAAAGTTTAATAGCAGATAGAGGAGATCAGCCATTCTCTCCCTGGATAAGGGATTCGAGAAATACCAGCCTAAAATCTGGACAAACTTTCGCTTGGATAAACATGGGCTATTGGTTCTGTCTTCATCAATTTTTAGCAATCTGTTTGTCGTTCCATGTGAAAATTTATGAAATCGATTTTCTGACTGAATACTAAGGTCACGTTAAATGGTTTTTTGGAATTAAAATGAAGGCTCAGAAACTTGTTTTAATAAGAATTACACCTGTAGATCATGGCCTTCGTCTTCTTTACCATCCATCCATTTCATGATTAATAAGGACTTTCCGCGGTTGACAGCTCTCGAACTACTTGTCCCTTAGCTACGAACTGGTATGATTCCAGTATTTATGCCTTCATGACCTTAAACAAACAAACAATACTTTAAGCTTTTATAAAATTACACGATTTTTTTTATATTGATGAGAAATCTCACTGGAGACAAAATTACATCAACAGGCCCAACTCGTGATTGCCATATTGTGCCATTTTTCTCAAAAGCAAGAGAAATTAAATTCACGAATTACAACAGCTCGGATAGCTTCTTAAATTCATATCAACCCTGTGCTGTGGGTAGCTGGAGGCGAATACGTCCTCCCATTGCATAGTTAGCAACAACGAAGTCAAGGATATAACTAACTTCATTAAAACAAATTTGATGTTTCG